CCCCAAAACCCCAAAACCCCAAAACCCCAAAACCCCAAACCATTCTTTTAAAGTTGAAATATTTTAAATCTGAACTGCAGCATCTACTTTGGTAGGCATCTTTGACCTTGCCATGTAAGTATTTCTGGCATGACTTGGAAATTCAGGAGCTCTACCAATATTAAGTCCTCTTGACCTATATAATTAAGATTATACACCTATTATTATGACTTTAAACCATAAATTCCAACTTTTGAATCTTAATCGAATGTCAAAAGTTCTTCAAAATGAACCCCTTACATTCAGAGCAGGACTCTGTTACTCTTCTTTGCCTTTGAAATAGATTTGCCTACTTCTAAGTCTTTATTCAACTCCATGCCAGGCTGTTCATTGCCATTGGGGAGGAAGCTATTTATCTGCTTGGACTGTAAGCAATCATCAACATTAAATTGCTGGAAGCTCTCTTCGTATTTAGTGTATTTCATCTGCAAGGCTTTGCCTTGTAAAGCCATCGATTGCACCTTATTTTTCTTCTTCCTTCTGATAAACTTCTTTCTGTTTATTTTCTGGTGAGAGGATGGGCTCTCTGTTCTGGAGGCTAACCCTGGTGTATTGGTAAAGAAGCTACAGTGGTTCTTTTTAGAAGGCTTAGACATCTTAGGATGAGTTTCAAGCTCTTTGCTTACAATCTGAGAGTTCTACCAATGTTTAATAGATATCTTACTTCATTCTTTGATCGGTACATTCCTGGCTGTTGGCTGCTCTTTTTGGTTCTATTTGAGTAGTTCGAGTAGCCTGTGTTTGGTTTCAAATTCTTAGCTATTGATTGGTTTTGGAATCAGTTGATCTGGAGAGAACTATCAGTTTTAAGAGGATCCTCTTCAGAAATTTTAGTATTCATTGATGTTATCCTCATATCCATCTGACAACTTTCTTGATATTCTTGGTTCATCTGACTCAACCTCCTTCTACTCATTTTAATTTTCTTAATATAATTGCTTTCACGGGAAAGATTTTGATATCCTTCAAATTAGTGGAACAAAGAGTACCTCTGATCCTATTTATATTCCTATTAGTCTTTGGCTCTTTGTAAGGAGCTCTGGTTGATTTATTTACTAAGAGTTAATCACAATCTTTACCTTCTGACTCTTACAAGTGGGTTTGAGAGGTAGCTGTTTGATAACTTCACCATATCTTGGAATTTTGACTGGCCAAAAATACTGTTACTTTCAGGGCAGAAAGATTCTCAGAGGTTCCTCTATATAGTTGCTGAATAAAATCCTACGCTCTGATCTTTGCTTCGGGAATGATACTTTTTAAGTGTCTAAAAATAGGTTACAATAAGATGTTTTTACTTTGTTCAGTTTTCACATTTGTAAAACTTTCTTTTCCTGGTTGGTAGTTTCACTAAATATTAATTAACTCCATACGTAGTAGGTTTGGTATCTTCCTTAGGGCTAGTAGATGTACTGGGATCATTTATCAATTCTTCAGCACGATCAGAGAAAATAGTAAAGCTATGTCCTGTCTCGGGCTTTAGGTTGATTATCTCTTGGACTCTAGGAGGGCTATGAGGTAAGACCTGATTGATACTTTTTGATATCAATTCCATAATCAACAGAAGTGGCTTGATCTTTGGCTAGTTTCTTTTTCTTGGGGACATAGAATTCAGCAAAAGATTTTGCTGTTCCAACCAACTGAAGATCGTTCTCGTTGGAGTCCTTCTGTTTAGGATCTCTCCCTAATTTAAAGTTGATGCCATTTCCCTCTGAGTCCATTGAAATCTTGCCTTTCCTCTTCCCTGACCTAGCAGTAGTATGAGGTCTGGCTTTATTTCTTGAGATTGACCGAGAATGATATGCATAATTTTTGGCCAGTTTCTTATTGAATTTCTCCAAAGATTTCTTAAAAATATCTCTTTTCTCATACTTTGAAGAATAGCCTTGGTCTTGCAGCCATCTCTTCTTCATTGACTCTGCTAGAGCCTTCTTCTCGTAGAAGTTCTCAGCGCTATCTTGTGTGGTGTAGGCTTTCATCAGCTCGGAATCTATCAGATTCTGCATCTGGTTTCTCTTGGCTCCTGAAACTTTAGTTTTCTTTGAAGGATCTGAAGAGAATAAGTACCAAAAATACTGTCAATGGATTTTGAGATCATGCTGAAGTCAACAATTTTCACCTTTCTGGAAGTCAATTTCTCCGATCTGAGGTTTCTAACTCCCTTGGTGGACCGAGTGCTAGCACTAAATGTCAAAAGTAGTCATACTTCTTTGTATATGAAGGGTCTCTTTGTTTTTCTGCTGTTGAGTGATAATATGACCTGATTTTCTGATTAGCCTCAGATTTCATTTTTATCAGTTTCTTAGCCTAGAAAGAAGAGATGTTATGTAAAGCTTACCTTTCCTAAGGAATAATGAATTGAGGTCACATCTTGCAAAAACTGTTCATCTCCTGCTTCAGGGTTTCTGCTAGAGGAAATAGGGTTCTTGAAAAGGTCTTCTCTCAATTCTTTAGACATTTCTCCAGCAAGAGGGTCGTCAAAAATTAGCGAGTCAAGTGTTTTGTCAATAAATTCTACAGTAAATTTTAATCTGCAAAAATTAAAACGAATTGAGAGATTTTAGAAACTATTAACTAAAATTTAATCAGGCTTGCAAAGGAGATTTCTGAACACCTATATTTTTCTATTTGATCTAAAATTCTACTAATACACCAAACATCTCTGCTCTTTTAGCTTACCGATGTTCCTTCCATTCTTGAATTTGTGGATATTCTTCTCGAACTTGGTGAAAGCTACTTTCCTTCCAACTTGAGCGCTCATTAGTAAGTTTTATAATTTATTTGTTTCAATTTGCTTAAGGCCTAATGGGGTTTTGGGGTTTTGGGGTTTTGGGG